TATAAAGGCCTTGACATTAAATACAGAGGAAGGTGAATCCGCTCACATTTTCTGTAAACATGCCTGCAAAGTGGGTGATTTATTTCAGTCATTCTTTTTTTTTTAGCATTAGGCTGGGAAGCATGGGCCACCCATGTGGACAGATGGCGTCACTGGAAGACAACCTCCTCGGCAAGTGGACAGCTTTGCAAGTGAGCCACAGAGTGACCCAGGCATATAAGTATCACTTCGTATTCTCGGTGAGTTTGAAATACTGTGATACTGTTAAATCATGCAGCGCCACCAAGAAACAAATTTCTTTGCTACCAAGGAATGCTGGGCTGGCTGGATTTCCTCCAAGCCATTCCAGCTGTGCCAGCCTGTGTGTGTGAAGCACTCCTTCCTTATGAAGGGATTCTAAACATGAAGACAGACACAGCAGGTCAGAGAGGGAGGGGGCCTGGCTCACCCTGACCACCTTGTCTCAGCCATGTTAAAATCAATCCTCCGAAGGGCAGAAGGATGGAGAACCCTTCAATCTTTCCACTGGACTCTTGGTTAGATTACACAGCATTTAATATTCACATCTGGTGTAGGGAAGACAGCCAGAAGATGTGACCTTTGTATGGCAGAAAATATCATGGGGTCAGTTGTAATTTTCTGTAACAGTTGTTCGCAACGTTCATTATGTGAGCTTCAATAGCTTTACATCAGTTTGCCACAGTAGTTCACCACAATCAGGCTTATCAAGAAGTCAGCTTTAGATAATCCGCCTGACGCTTTTTAAAAATAACTGGGGTAAAAGTACCTATGTTGTGCTTTTAAAATTTCTATCTGAAAACTGCCTTTGTTTTCTTTAAAACAAGAAAAAAAGCTCCTAATTGCTATAAAATGTATCGATAGAATGAATTAAATGATACTAAAGGATGGACTAAAATAAATTTCAAATTCACTAAACATCTGTATCAGTTTTTAAAGTATCATGAACTTAGAGTTCATTCATTTAGAAAAGGAATACAACTGAAACACTGGGATGTTTATTAAGGCAAATTATTTTTGTAATATTAGCATATTAATATTTTGGTTGTATAGAAATGATAACACTAATTACAGTGGGACCCTGAGTCACTCATTAAAATATCCATTAGAACTTAGATGATGTTCAACTAGATGGTTTTAGATACTCTTAAAATGTCAGCACTGTCATTGTGCAGTCCTGTAATACCAGCACTGGGGAGGCTGAGGCAGGAAGATTGCTGTGAGTTTGAAGCCAGCCTGAGGTACATGTGATTTTAAGGCTGGCCTGAACTGCATAGTGAGAACTTGTCTCAAAAAAAAAAAAAAAAAAAAAAAA